AGAGAAATTTAAGAAAATGTGAAGACATGTACAGATTTTGAAAAATGCATCTGATTTAATTATGAAATATATATAAAATAATTATAATTCAATATAATAAATATATGGTTATTATAAAAATACGTAAAAGAGGAAAATGTAATCAAAATTTATTAAATTCCCGCTAGACCGAAGTTAACGAATACATATTGACGTTCCAATTAATGTAAATAAATCGAAAAATATATTTTTGAAAGCTCGTAAAAGACTAACCTTTTATTTCACAAATTTGCAAAGAAGCTCGTTGGAAAGGCCAGACTTTTTTCTTTAAAACGTATATGGAAGTAAGTAATTAACTTATATGGTTATTGAGTAATTTAAGAAAGTATGAAGACATGTACGAATATTGAAAAAAACGAATCAACGAAAGACTGCTTCTGATTTAATCGAAAAGTAAGTTTTGACGGCTCATAAAAAAATGAACCTCTAACTTCATAGATTTACGAGATAGCATTTTGGATAGGCTAGATTTTTCTCTTTAAAATGTATATTGAAGTATGTAAATAGATTGTGTAGTTATAGATAAATTTAAGGAAATGTGAAGACGTGCACAAATTTTGAAAAAATCTAAGATTTAATTTTGAAATATATATAAAATAATTACAATTCAATATAATAAATATATGGTTATTATAAAAATACGTAAAAGATGAAAATGTAATCAAAATTTATTAAATTCCCGCTAGACCGAAGTTAACGAATACATATTGACGTTCCAATTAATGTAAATAAATCGAAAAATATATTTTTGAAAGCTCGTAAAAGACTAACCTTTTATTTCACAAATTTGTAAAGAAGCTCGTTGGAAAGGCCAGACTTTTTTCTTTAAAACGTATATTGAAATAAGTAATTAACTTATATGGTTATTGAGAAAGTATGAAGACATGTACGAATATTGAAAAAAACGGATCAACGAAAGACTGCTTCTTATTTAATCGAAAAGTAAGTTTTGACTGCTCATAAAAAATGAACCTCTAACTTCATAGATTTGCGAGATAGCATTTTGGAAAGGCTAGACTTTTCTCTTTAAAACGTATATTGAATTATGTAAATAGATGGTGTAGTTATAGAGAAATTTAAGAAAATGTGAAGACATGTACAGATTTTGAAAAATGCATCTGATTTAATCATGAAATATATATAAAATAATTTCAATTCAATATAATATAATAAATATATGGTTATTATAAAAATACGTAAAAGAGAAAAATGTAATCAAAATTTATTAAATTCCCGCTAGACCGAAGTTAACGAATATATATATTGACGTTTCCAATTAATGTAAATAAATAGAAAAGTTATTCGCAAATGAAATGTAAAAACCTGTATTCTTTGCAAAAACAAAAATTATGTAGAGCGAAAATGAATAATTTAAGGGTGTGCGGTAATATTATCCAAAGGAGTGTCGTGATTTCTACCCTTGCATGTCGCTCATTACGTATTCAATCCGAAGCTTGGTCTTGCGAAACGTTTGCATATTTATTTGTCGGACCTTTCTTTCAAACCCACACCACCTTCCTTTCTGCGTACATTATAAACATTTTCTTCACTTTGAAACCTGTTTTTCTTTGGATTTTCACCATTGTTTCCGTCGCACAGAAACTTCGCTCCGCTTCTTCCAAAAACTTTTCCCCATGCAAAATTCATTACATTCAAAACATGAAACGAGAAAAAAAAATGTTGTTTTTACGTAACGCCAATTAACGAATGAACTTCTGAGCGATTCGTTCGATTAATGTGTCGTGCGAAAATTTGCTTTATTGTTTTTATGTGTTTTTTATGATCGATCGATCATTCGTGGTCCACTTAACGTTTAATTCGTTTAATCCATACTTCGTTTCTTTTCCGTCTGTAATTCCGAATGCGGATCACGCAAATGTTTGTATCCTAATTTAAATATTACATGAGGTACGGACCTCCAGGAAATCGGATCGAAATCATTCGCTGCGAAGAAACGAAATATGTACACACGTAAATCGAATTGCACAATTCCATCCATGTCCTACCGACGACATCATCGATCCATAAGATAGTTGTGCAATAACATTTTACATACTAAATTGAACCATTCAATCAAGAATTCTTACACATTTAGAAATTATTGATAATCGTAGCAAAACATATTTCGAATTCCTCATAAATCTGCACTTATTTATAAGATAAGAAATTGCTTATTCATGGTGGTAACAATTGTTTGCGAGATTTACGTAATCTTGATCGTAAGAGAGAAGCGAAAAAAAAATCGTTTATATAATTTATATTATTAGAATTTTTCTTTCTGTGTCGTGAAAGCATTAACATAATGCGCTGCGGCTCTGTAAATCATCCAAACTTATTTTTCTTGTTACATGTCTAGAAACGTTTCTTTATTTTTTTTTTCGCGTGCGATTTTAAAGGAAGAAAGACCGGTTATACGATGTACACTTTATTTCTTTGAAGTAGTAAGAATTAACTGCTGTAATCCGACTTTTAATTTCTGCATCGTCGAGCGGAAGTTATGCGAATTTTGCATTTTTCGGGGTGGAAATGTTTGCGTTATTAATTCGTCCTTATTGCAGGACAATCGCGCGTTTTCTTTGCGTTTTGTGTAGCGTGAACGTTTTTGGGCAGTTTACTTGAACTCGGGAGGAAATTAAAAGATGAATACAACACTTGTGTTTCCATCTGCTCGAATCTTTTAACGATTAACAGTAAATTCTTATTGTTTCTTTTTTGTATCTTTATAAAACGAATTAAGTGAATTTAATTATGTTTGGTGGATGAATTGATTGCTTTTTCTTAATTGAAAATTTCATATTATTTCTTCGTAATCAACATGATAGGAATTTTGTAATGAAATCAAGACGAATTAACATGAATACATTTGATGGATAAAAATGTAAAAATTAAAATCATGTCACTACTTTCCAAGTGCTCCGTAACATTAAAAATCAAATGAATTACTGAAATTTTGATATAAATTTTGTTAATTAAACGAATATAAAGTTCTTACATATTTCATTTTACTTTGAAAGTAGCTTAAAGTAATTTTTCCAACGATTTCAACGTTTATTTATCAATTTTTATACTTTTTTTCATGATTTTTATAAAATCAACAGCAACATAATTTCCATTTCTATTTTTCATAATTATTTTTCATAATAATTACTTTAAATTAATTAATTTTGTAAAGTGATTCAGCCCAAAATTCACATCATAATTTACGAATTTAATAAATAAATTCTTGATTATTAATTAAACAGATAAATCGCAATTAATTTCGATAAGCGAAAAACATTTTGCTCACATTTCTACGAAAGAAAATATACATATATATAGTATAATATTTCATTTACAAAAGATTGTTTATTTTCCATATTAATATTTTTAGTAAATAACGCAGCTTCGATTATAAGTTTAAATTAGTAAATTAATAATAATTGTTGCAAATATTTGTTGTGTCACTTCTTGTTTTCTTTAATAGTTGCAAATTTATGTACTTTGCAAGAGCATTTCCGAAGATATGAATGTAATTAGCGTCTTGTGTACGTAATCTACAACGCAAATTCTTTTTTCTTTTAACGATTAACAGTAAATTCTTACTGTTTTTTTTGTATCTTTATAAAAACGAATTAAGTGAATTTAATTATGTTTGGTGGATGAATTTCTTAATTGAAAATTTCATATTATTTCTTTGTAATCAACATGATAGGAATTTTGTAATGAAATCAAGACGAATTAACATGAATACATTTGATGGATAAAAATGTAACAATTAAATCATTGATAATGGACAAAAGTTGGGTATTCGGAGTGGCAATTCGCATCATTCGTTTAATTGAAATTGCATGTAAACATAAATAATTGTAATGCGAAAAGGTTGATTTTCGGTGCTAATAAATAATGGGGGCGCTATCAATGTTATAATGCGCCCGGCGCATCCACCATATCTGGCTCACGTGCTGGAACGCATTAAACCGTCGGATCCGCCACCAGGCAAGCAAGCAACCAACCAACCACCGACCACCTATAATGATCTTTCCGATTTATGTCCATACATGAAATATCATGGCATAGTATGTTATGAAGCAATTGGGACGGGACGGGAGTTTGAGGATCGCGTGCAGCGCGAAAAATCGAAGAATGAGGAAAATTTGGGGCGTCGGCAATTATCGAATGACGTAATTAATTTGTATACCGCTGAAGTGTGTTTTGATTGATTGCATTTTTGCCTTTTCTCTCGCTAATAGACTTTCGCCCATTGTAAATTCATGTCGGCCTCTTTTAAAATATACATCATTACATAACAACGATGCGATCCTCGAACGGCGAAACTCGACTCATTTGAAATTGTAAGCGCACCCTCCCCCAAGTTCCGTATAATTTTGTTTATCTTTTAAACATTTTAAGATAGATTATGCATGCATTCGCGGATCGCGGATCGTTAGGATGTTTCTGAAAGGAGGAGAAATCGAGTCGGTTAGATTCCCATGGCAGTTGCATCCGCGGCAATACCATTTCCCGTCATCAAATTTGATATATTACCGCAAATCTACGTTTAACTTTTATTTCCTTCCTGTTCTTTCGTTTGCAACTGATCCTCCCTTTTTTTTTCTCTCTCTCTCTCCCTTTTTCTTGTTCTTCTGTTTGCTTTCGGTCCATTCTTTATTTCCTTTTCGCTTGCTGCTTAAAACCAGTCCAGGCCACACGAGAGTTTATATCTGGTGTAATCATAATTTCGCAGCGGTTATAATTTATGATGATTATCCTGTGCGCGCGATAACAAAAGTCCTGCCTTTCTCTCTCTCTCTCTTACTTACTCCCCCTTTAAAAGAAGCATGATGATGATGAAAAGAAAAATTATATAAGGGAGGATCTTAATCAATAAGGATTATGAATGTTGGTTTTGCCTCGTGACGGATGAAGCGTTCCGACGTTTCCACTTTTTGCTCATTTCTTCTTTTTTTTTTTGCACTAGGTGTTCGTATGTTGGATGGCGTCGTGAATGATGCGGTGGAGGCTAAAGCCCTTGGCTTAAATCCGGAGCACATCGACATATACAGCGCTTCGTGGGGACCGGAGGACGATGGAAAGACGGTCGATGGTCCTGGACCTTTGGCGAGAAGGGCTTTCATCTACGGCGTGACGAGCGGTCGTAAGGGCAAGGGAAGCATCTTCGTTTGGGCTTCAGGGAACGGTGGAAGACATACCGATTCTTGCAACTGCGACGGTTACACAAACAGCATCTTCACGTTGAGCATTTCGAGCGCCACGCAAGGAGGGTGAGTATCATTCATTCTAATTTGTGATTGTTTGAATGTGAGGATTGGTTTGTGCCGATCTGGGATTTGTTTTGAAACTTTTAGTAGTATTAAAGTGTAATCGCATTTATTCCAGATATAAACCGTGGTATTTGGAGGAGTGCTCGTCGACTCTGGCGACGACTTACAGTTCGGGAACTCCGGGTCACGATAAAAGCGTGGCAACTGTGGACATGGACGCGAGACTTCGACCCGATCATATTTGCACTGTGGAGCACACCGGGACTTCAGCTTCCGCCCCATTGGCTGCAGGCATCTGTGCTCTGGCGCTCGAGGCTAATCCCAGTCTGACCTGGAGGGATATGCAATACCTGGTTGTGATCACGTCTCGCGCTGAGCCTCTGGAGAAGGAGTCCGGTTGGGTGCTGAACGGGATCAAGAGAAAGTTCAGCCATAAATTCGGCTACGGTTTGATGGACGCAGGTGGTATCGTCAGTCTCGCGGAGAAGTGGACCACGGTTCCAGCGCAGCACATCTGCAAGTCTCAGGAGGTGGTCGAGGATCGTCAGATCGATTCCACGTACAAATTCACCCTCGTCCAGCACATGGATGTCAACGCTTGCAGCAACACGCTGAACGAGGTGCAATTCCTCGAGCACGTTCAATGTAAAATCTCGCTCAGGTTCTTCCCGCGCGGCAATCTTCGCATCCTGCTCACTTCGCCGATGGGCACCACCTCGACGCTGCTCTTCGAACGGCCACGTGACGTCGTCAGCTCCAACTTCGACGACTGGCCATTCCTGAGCGTTCACTTCTGGGGTGAAAAGGCCGAAGGCCGTTGGACCCTGCAGATCATAAACGCAGGAAACAGACACGTCAATCAACCAGGAGTTCTCAAGAAGTGGCAGCTGATCTTCTACGGCACCTCAGTCAACCCCATCAGGTTGAGGTCTTCGAACGTATCGCCGGTATCCTGGAAATCATCCCTAAACTCATTCACTTACCCGACGCTCTCCGATCCAGTCACCCATGACCCCGTCACCGACAACCTCTTCAATCAGGAACTGTTCAAAGGGTTCAGCCCGATCTCCTACAGCTTCGCCGGATCCGAGCGGGATCAAGCTGTGAGCTCTTTGGATGGTAAGAAGGCAATCATCAGGGATAACGATAATAGGATAGACACCGACGAGGAGACCAAGGAGAATTGCGACGAGCAGTGCGACGATCAGGGATGCTTCGGACAGGGTCCCAACAAGTGCATCGCCTGCAGGAACAAACGCATGGACAAGTGAGTCGAACGCAACCATTAATCTTCTCAATCTCAACTCTTCTGTGTATGCAGGACTTGTGTGAGTGCGTGTCCTCCACGTAGCTACGCCGACTCCCAGGGCGTCTGTCAGGCGTGTCACGAGTCGTGCGACACGTGCATCGGCGCCGGCCAAAACAATTGCCTCTCCTGTTCTCCGGGCCACGTGAGGGTTGTCGATCTCGACATTTGCATGCAGCAATGCCCCGAAGGATACTTCGAAGGTAAACATCGCAAAATCACATAGACGATACAATCTTCTATCCTGTCGTCTCGGTTTACATGCAATCTGCACGATTGTTCCCACATATTTTTCAATTTCAATTCACGTCCTGCAGATTTCACCGACAAGACTTGCACCCCGTGTCAACCGAACTGCGCTGGATGCCAGGATCGTCCGGATAGATGCACCAGTTGCGACCACCACCTGCTACTCTACCACAACAAATGTTTGGCTTCCTGCCCTCCGGACACCTACGAAACCGAGGACTACACGTAATACACTTTTTCATCATCCCGCCATACAAGTTGTATTCTATAATTGGATGTCGTTTTTTTTTTGCTTCTGCAGATGCCTTCCGTGCCATACTTCTTGCGAGACATGCAGCGGCTCCAACAGCTCCCAATGCATCACCTGCGGCGCCGGTCGTTACTGGAACGAGGGCCGTTGCGTGAAGGACTGTCCGGCCCATCGCTTTGCCGACACGAGGCAAAGGGAATGCGTAGAGTGTCCTCCGGGATGTTCCGAATGCAACAAGACTACATGCATTTCCTGTCTGGACGATTGGCAAGTCAACAGCAAGGGCAGATGCGTTCCGCACGGAAGCGATCACTGCGATACAGGTACATGCATTAATAATATAGATATAATTATTTCATAATAAGATCTAAGTTGTGAACGTTATCTTGATAAGTGGATCGATCTGCAAAATGCTCTTATCGATATCGATAATCCCTTTCATTGTAGATTGATTTACCATCCTTGTCCTCCTTCGTTCGTGTAATTTATATATTTTGTATAAGGTTCACATGAATTCAAGCAACTTTTTCATCTAATCGTAACGACAATGTTTGTTCTTCAGATCAATACACGGATGGTGGATTGTGCAAGCCGTGCCACTCGACGTGCGGCACCTGCGATGGCCCGACGGAACACGCCTGTCTCTCCTGCTCGCATCCGTTGATCCTGCAAGGGACGAGATGCGTTGCCGAGTGCGACAAGGGCCGTTTCCAGGACAAGAACTTGCACTCCTGCGAACCCTGCGTTCACACCTGCTCCGAGTGCTCTTCCAAGTCTAACTGCACCACTTGTGTGCCCGGATTACAGGTAAAGTTGAAACGCTCTTCAATATTTTTGCAGGATTTGCTAACACTTGAGTTTCAGCTGCAAAGCGGAGAATGCAGATCGACGTGCGCCACGGGATACTACAGCGATCGTGGCGTTTGCACCAGGTGTTACATAAGCTGTGAGACCTGCAGCGGACCAGGCCACGATCAGTGCGTGGCTTGTCCATCCGGATGGCAATTGGCTGCTGGAGAATGCAGACCCGATTGTCCTGAGGGCTTTTACAAGACCGATTACGGCTGTCAAAAATGCCACTACTCGTGCAGAAACTGCCCAGGTAATTAATAAAGATTTGATTGGATCTTCAAATACTATAATTGATGTTGGTTAGGTTGCAAGAATCTGGCTGATAAGAGACGCATCAACGTGGAGGCATATCTTGTATCGGCGCAGCCCGTCTCCACTTTGCAATTTGTGAATCCCTTCAACTTCATCACGGGCATCGCGATCGTTGCCTGCCTGTGCATCATCATCCTCTTCAGTACGATCTTCATCATACTGCAGGTATGCATGCGTTAGAATGATGTTGTTCGATGTCAACTACATTCGATGATTGTTTGATTTTTCTCAGAGAAACAGCACGCAGGGCGTCCACAGGGACTACAATAGGGTTTCCATAAAGAAACCTAAAGTGACGTGTAACTACAATGTAGTGGCTGTGAACGATGGCGATTCGAGTGATTCTGATAGCACCGAAGACCGCCAGCTGATTACTTCGAAACCAGAAAGGACTTCGTGTTAACTCTAGAGACTACCATGTGTGTAAATATACAAAACCACTCACTGTCTTCATTGCTTACGTCGTTCTCCCGAGTTGCTGGAGTTGGCCAACGTTTCCACCTCAAACACCACCCAAAATCCTTCAATCCTCATCATCACACACCACCCAATCCTTTCGATTCCTCACGTAAACCAACAATAATAATTAAAATAATCCAATAAAAGGGCAGAGCCAAATCTATAATGATGTGACGATGATATTTGTGTACATATAACATATATATTATATATACTACTGTATAATCTTCGTAACAAACAAAAAAAAAAGTATGAAAATGATTACCATTGTACCAAATTCCTAAGTGTTTACTGTGTAAGGTCAACAATGAAGACAGCTCAATGTAATTATGATATATATATATATAAACAAACAAAAAAAAAACAAATAAATATAATAATAATAATAATTAAAAGATGAAAAACGAGGAGCAGAGAGAAAAGTTATGGCAACAAGAAAAAAAAATGCATAAAACTAAATGAAACGAAAAACGTGGATAAGAGAAAAATTACAATTTTAAGGAAAATATATATATATTATTATTAAAAAAAAAATAAAAGAAAAGGGAAAACTTAAGTGCTCTTGATATTTCATGTCGTAAATAATAAATAAATAAATAAATGAATAATAATATAGTTATTTTTAAATGTACACTTTGTATATAATCAATAGATAATTGTTTCAATGTTATTTATGAAATTTTACCGTTTATAAGTCCAAGTGATACAAGAAGAAAAATGAGAACATAAACAAACAAAAATATTCGGAATTTCGTCTTTATTATTTGATTCATTCTTTTTACACGATCCCAATTTGATTCCTAATTGAATTCAGAGAAAAACAGGTAAGATTAATTTATTTATTAATTATAACTATTTGATGAATTCTGTAGCTTTGATTAATGGTAAGTGATGTGTTTAGGTGATGGTGCATGTCTTGAATTTAGAAACGTTTCTGTTAACCATAACTGAGTTTCCTGAAAACTCTTATCGAAGCTTTGACGTAGGAAAAGGAACAACGGTTCTGTCGGCGGTTGGACAGGAAACTCGGAATACTCGGTATTTCCTAGACCATTATCGACAAACGCAAACTTATCGCTCCTCGATTTAACAACTTGGTGATTTTTTTTCTTTTTCAGAACAGTCCCGCATCGCGCAACAAAAGCATCGGACGGCTGCAGCAAATCTATACAAAGCTTCGTTTTACAAAAAAAAAATCAGCAACGTGCCAATTGTAATCTGCTCTAAGCCGGAAGAAGTATTCCGGTTGATAAGCCAATTGCTCAGTTAATATATATATAAGTGTTATGTGTTTTTTTTTGGTTTAATTTGTAAAATTCCGACCTCAATTGCTGTCTGAAAGTGCGATGGAAGGAAAACGTATCAGGGATTAATTTTTGGGATCCGATAGATGATCGTGTGTTTGTATGTGTTTTGTGGCGTGCAGCAGTTATCAGTGGGATTCCAGAGCGAGCGTCGCACCATCATCATCATCATGTCTTTCCGAATCGAAGATATCCTGAAAACCAACGAAGAAGAAGTTCCTCCGGAGGTCAAGTTCGAAACGCAGATGCAGACGTTGTCCAACCGTAACAACCATCATTACCATCAGACGTCCATCAACAACTACTGGCAATCCATCAACTACGCGAAGATGTACCAGCAGTTCTACGAGAACAATCCCTATTTTCCGTACGCGGATTGTTTAGATTCTGCACAGCAATACGAAACATGTAAGTAACAAAATCTCCGATTATACCTACATTCGATCATCATCATTATTACATTGGATTCCACCTTCCTCATATTTAATTGCATTCTGATTGCTCTGAAAGCCCGAAAACCGGAGCGCCGTTGAAACCGATTTTGATTAATTACGAATCTCCTTCGCTGGATATTGCGGTATAGTTCGCTAAAACTTGATAACAAACAAACACAATTATGAGAATTTAGAAACAAATTTTCTAAATATTTGTACATAATGATTACAATATAAAAATAACTCGAGTTGCTTCACAATTTGTATTAATTAATTTATCAATGAATAAGTACGAAATGCAATAATTAATTTCGTTAATTAGATTAACTGGATATTGCGGTTTCGCTCGTATCTTATCTTTAACCGTAAAGCAAAGGAATCCGAAGTATATCTTTAAAAAAAAAAAACACAGTATTAATATAATAATTAAATATTTCTTGGGAATTTCAATAGGGAAACCGCGAATTACACAAGCGATTAGATTTCGCGCAATCAATGCGGTCGT